TTCTAAAAAATATTAAATAAGAATATCTGGAATTAAAACATTTTATTTTTCTGATTTTCTATGGAGATTGAATGGGAAATAGGAGACTATAAAATAAAATTAAAGAAAATTGAACAGTAGTTTTTCAAATAAATTCTTTACATTTCATCCTTATTAAAATAAATTAATAAGCTATCCTTATATAATACCTCTCGCTAGATACAATAAAAATATGGGATACGGCTATAGATAGATATAGAAAATATGATTGCACAATAAAATCACTTGCATAGTCGTTATATCCTATAGAGTATAATAACTTTTGGGCTTTATTACATGCAACATTAGTTTAAGATATTAATTACAGCTCTTGTAGGAATGCACTTATTATAAAGATGCATATATGTACATACATACATATGTGGATTTAATTGTGCAGCAAACGTTTTAAATTTGTGTACTTAATGTGCGGCGCTCAAAAGGATTACGGCAAGGCACTTGAACCGGACGTGGGACAAGCTACTTAAATAAGTAGCAGCTTATGACATGTACGATTCAAGTTGCCACTTCAACTGGCTGTGTCTAATAAAATATCGCTTCAAATGTTGTACGTAATTGCCGTGTCCTTTGCAGTCCTGCCTAAGTGTGTATCTATGTGTTTGTGTCTGGCTAATTGCCGCAAGTATACGTAGCCTGGCTTGTATGATTTTAATTAGTTTAGGATTTTAAGCACAGCATTTTCCTTTCCAAGCAAAGTGGCTAATGCTACTTGCAACCAGCAGCCAGTTAACTAATCGAAAGTGCCTCTAAGTAATCCACAGTAAGGGCAATCTAGAGATGCGTGTAATGAGAGGCATGCTCGTGTTTAGATATCTGTATTTTAAAATTATTCGTGCCTTTTCGTGTCCATTAGAGCCACAAGAACAATTTAAACTTACATTAATCAACATATTCCAACACTTATAGAAGCTACTATAAAACACTACTTTACGTTACCTTATACAACTGAGCACTGTTCAATACTACTTAGCTTATTATTCTATTTACTCATTACGCAATACTACTCAACCTATTTTCAACCGTTACTCAACACTAAATTTTTTTGCAACACTCCTTAATTCATTTCAACGCTATTTCACATTTGTTAAGATCAAAACTTTTTATGACCACTGAAGAAAAGATATAATAAAATTAAAATGGATAAAGCTCGAATAAAATTGAAAAGAGAATGAATAAACAATAATATAAAGAAATATATAATCAATGTATTAATATTGAAAAATTATATTAATCTTGTTAAGTAGCCTATTGGAAAAGTGAAGTTCTAATTATTTCTTTCCAACCCCTGCACAACACATTGCACCAACCCCCAACTCGCAGCCATCTCCTGGACAAACAGTATATTAATAACGTGAGACCGAAAATTGTTCCACGTGGCGTATGAGTAACCAATGCAGTGGCCAGTTCGAAGGCGGTAGCTCTGCAATTATGTGCAACTAGCTGCAACGCATAAATTTCTGAATAACGACTGAAACATAGCCAAAGCCAGAGTAAAGCCCACAGGCCTCAGGGAGCAGGAACCCGAGAAGCTATCATTAATTATATGAGGCGCATAGGTGAATTTCTAATTGGTAGCTACTAAGCAGAAGTTGGTCGAAATATGTTTGCTTGGGGAATTTCCGTTGACTCTGATGTTTAATAGTCAGCCATGGAAACTCGATACACAATTAGCTTAATTGGTTAAATGCTGATTATGCCATGGCAAAGTATTATTATTGGTGTACTTGAGTTTATTGCTGAAGTGGCAAAAGGAAATTCAAATAATTGTTCAAGTGGCGGCTACCCAAATGGGGTTTGAGCCAAAACTTGTTTGCATGTAATTTGACAACGATTTAATGTTAATTAAAAGGCAAAGATCAGCTCTGATTATATATCATTAAATTAGTATCATATTAAAATATCTCACCAGTAATATAAGCCATAAGAAGTAACTACTCCAAAAAAACCCATAACAAAAATTGTACAAAAAACAGACAATTCTTTATCAAGGAAATGACTGAAACAGTAGAAGCGAGCGTGTTTCAGTCCAAACTGCCCGTCTAGAAAATACCCTATACTAGTATTGTTCTATCATCTGCTTCATACACCTTTGAAAATTGTGTCTTAAATAAATATTGAGGATTCATGGTGGTATATTATCTGACTGCATATACTCTGCCGACATATCAAATATAAATATATAGATATGCTAAAACCTCTAATTATTAATCGATATACATAAATTGGAAGAGATCTATCGATAAGCAGAAATAAACTTGTTCTGTGTGTGGTACAAAGAACTTACTTATATAAGTATCTCAAATCTAAGTTTAAGTGCTTAAAGTATTTAAGATCAACTTATCAGCTTATATAGACAGGAGATATTGGATATGAAGACGATCACATCCAATCAGTCTGTCGACTGTCTGTACCATATGTGCTCGAAGATGCCCCACCCACTGTACCTTGAATTCGTACAGGGTATAGAAAAGTACTTGCATGCGCATTTTGGGGTCGGAAAACGAAACAATAGAAGTGCAAGCACCTAACTAACCGAGCTAGTTGAGCAGCTCAATCTCTCTCTCTCTCTCTCTCTCTCTCTCTCTCTCTCTCTCTCTTTCTCTTTCTATATATATATATATATGTGTGTGTATAGACACTCAAGTTGTAGTTACCGATTCGTGTGCATGTTGAACAAACGAGCGAGTGAACAATGCAAATAATTGTCAAACATTGCACAAAGGAGGTACAAAAAAAATAGAAGAAAGTACCCACAATGGCCGCAATGAATGGAAGCGTATGATTTTTATAGCGCTGCCAACAGGCATTGTGCTAAGTTGTGGAAAATCGGGAAAAACGCGCCAAGAAAAGTGAGGAAAACTTCGGATGCTGCCTGCTGATTGTCTATGCTATTGGCTTTTCCCCATTCTGTTACGCTTGGGGGGCGAACTAAGCGGCGCTTTAATCGCGCCCGAAGTGCACAAGCAACAGAAAAAGGTGCGCATTATGTGTTCTGGCCGGGAGCAGGAGCTTTGCCGGCGCGGGGATTTCCCTCTGTCATTGGCTTTGCACATTTGAATGAACGTAAAACTGCGGGTTAGTCCTTTGGAATCCTAGTGTCATTGTCAACGCTGCAAGCCGCCCCTATGCCGTCTTACTATCCAGCATTACAATGGAAGTCAATAAATTTGATTTGACATTTGCCTCAACTCCCCCCGCTGCCCTCTCCAGCCACTCTTTTCTTGCGCTGATTCAGCACATTTGCCTTTCGCTTGTCATCGTCGGGCTTCGAATGTAATTTTATTATCCCTGCCTGACAAAATGTCACACATTCAGTTTTTTAATGAGCTGCGTCGACTGGGTGAGGCGGTCGGTCCCGAAAGGGGGCTGAATAGATTAGAAGTTAAAAATCAGTTGGATGGAAAGAGAAGTTATTCCGAATGGAATATTTCAAATGGGTAAGGTTTTGTTGTACTTCGAATTATAGTAATTTATTTAGTAATAACAATATTATTTTTATTGTTATTATTATTCTGAGATATAACTTAACAATAAATTGATAAATCGACAGATAGAGACCTAACCAATCTTTGGATTAAAGACTGATATGAAATATTTTAAAGTTATCGATATGATGAAATACTTGGATATCTGATTGTTCTCTAAGCTATTTCCCAAGAAGTTGTCGATAAAAATTTAGACATACTTATACGAAAAATAGAATAAAGAAGTATTATTCAAATACATTTTTAATTTCATTCTTTAGAGAATTTCCCCATTTTCGCAGATTTAATAATTATTAAAAATATATAATAGAGACTTCACATATTATAACTGCGTTTAGACATCATAAATTCAAAAAAGTATACGATAAGGATATGTGCGGCTTTCGTTGCTGAAAGGCAGTTGAATAAGTTAACTGTCTACAACTTTTATTGCTTTACTTTATGATAAACTGCCATTTACTAAACATTTTCACCCTCATATTGCCAACCTTTCACCTAACCTATTGATCTATCACCCTACGAAGCTCGATGAAAAAGACTGTACTTTATTTCGCCCAAAAGACTGTTGCTGGCCGGCGTGTTGCCAAAAGCCACTTTGATAATTTTACCAACACTGTCAACAGGCGCCGCCGTTTCACCTATCTTTCTATCGCTTGTGTCTGCCTGGTGACAGTTTTTTTAAATGGCTGTTTCCGCTTCCGTTTCCGTTACTTTTGGCTTGCCTGCACGTAAATTGTGCGCCATTTCAGTCTGTTGTTGTACCCTATACTCATTGAAAGTTGCCAAATTGTGGCATATAGAGGATGTGCACATGAAATGAGTCCCGACTTTGACACTATAACAGATAGAGCCTGAAAGAGTTGTTAGTTATCGATGATCGATAAATATCGATACACAGCCGTATGTTTTTTGAGTGGCTTCTCATTTAGCATAATACACATTCAAAATGTCTCCTCCAATATTTAAAATAAAAACCTATTTTAAAACATGCATAGTCGGCTATAGGGTATCTCTTAGACGTGCATTACCGCTTAGAATTCCGCTACTTGTTTTTCTCTTGCGCCTTTTGTCGCTGATGTTGGCGGTAAATTTTACTACAATGCATTTATAATCTTTTTCACTTATCTTTGCATAGTTTCCTTTTGCACACTGTAAAACTTTTTACGGTCTGAGGTTAAAAGTGGCATCATACATTTTAAGAAAGTCTGCCGCACCCCCCCCTTTACCCATCCCCCCTTATCCCGACCCACCGTAATGAATGAAAAGTTGCAAAAAGGTTGCGGCGCGAATGCAACGCAATTTTTGCTGAGCACTTGAGTTTTTAACCTGTCGACAATTTACAATTTTGACAGATTTATGAGTTAATTACGTTGGCTAAGAAATACACGAGGATAGATTATGATAGATTAATAGATTAAAAGACAATCTAAGCTATTATTTATTGTAATGTATTATTGCCTAAGCTAACAAGCCTTTGGGATTTTTATCATATCACAGCAAATATATTTTAAAAATTTTTAGAAAAATTTGTATACAAATTCTTAAGTAAAATACTTTTTGATACAGCTATAAAAGTCGAAAGCCGTCCTTTTAATTGTAAGTAACGACACAATGAATATAGGAATAGAAGATATGTTTGATATAAGATTAGAATTTAAGATTGGGGAGAGTATAATATAGAAATATCCAATGTACATAATGTATATGTATGAAATTTTTAATATATTTTAATGGTTTGTAGTCCTACAAATGAAATACTTATATCTTTAAATGGACAATCTTTGTTTATTTAGAATATATAATATTCCAGAAGCTACATGTATATATATATTCTGTTATAGACATAATAGATTTAGATTTAGATTTATCTTTACCAGCTTAATGTTTAATAAGTTATTTGAGCTCATCTTCTATATTGTAACTTGGTATTAGGTAAGCATATTTAATTATTTTTAATTCCAGACCTTCAGTTACTTTTATTTCTTTGATTTTAAACCACATATTGGGCATTTAATTATAACGATCATGGCCGAGAAACAACAGCAACCAGCCGAAGGTCCACATAAATCTCCGCTTGGTTTATCCCCCGCAGATTTTGCTCATAGCGTACCTGTTCTTCTATGGAGGCTGGGCATAGCTTTGGGCTGTAGACGTCCCATTTTGGAGCATCACGTAGATGTCGCCGCACCAGAAACCAAAATTAACATAAATCTCAATCACTTCCGGCAACGATTTAGGCAAATGCATTCCATGGAGGATGCGCAGGACCAGGTGCTAGAGGAGCATCGGTATAAGCTCTTTCTACATCTCTATAGGCTGCTTACGAGGCTAGAGCCCAATGAAGCCAAACGTCAGCAATATCTAATATTTTGCTATCACCTTTTTAATACGGAAAAGCCGCAACAACCGCATCTGGAAGAAACGTTGCGACATCAAGAAAACATCACCGAATCCCTAATCTTGGTAGCTCAAAATGTAATGCATCTAAATGAGGAGAATTCGGAACGTCCGCGGGAAGTGAGATCTCTCAATATTGAAAACTTTGGTCCTATGCCCAAAAGGTATTGCACTTCCCAAATGTTGGAAATGGAGTTTGCCTATGTGGAACATAAAGCTGTGAGATTTTGCTGTAACTCAAAAGGATTGCGTTGGGAGCAGGCAAGCTGGAAAAGAAGTTATATTCAGGCGAAGGAAGCTGCAAATGCAAACAAGATTAGGGAAGAACCGAAGCCGTACAAAGACGATGAAATGGAAGTTATTTATATGTTAAATTGGAATAGGCCCGATAAATCATTTTCAAGTAGTTCAGAGCTTATGCTCTATGAAGATCTTGGAATTCAGTTAAAAGAATGCAATTCGGAGAATCGAGAATCAAGAGCTGGTACGGAAGAAACTTTAAGTATAATAATTATAACAATGATAATTTACTAGAGATAGATTTGTGAATCGATTTTAAAATCGAACACGTTTAAAAAGTAATTTTTTGACACTCACACCCTTCACAAAAAACACTTAACAGGACATAGTGCAGACTTTACACGGGTTGATTGACTTTAATTTATGGAATTCTAAAAAAAATCGGTATTATTTGCAGCTGAAATATGCGAAAAGAGAAGGAATATTATGAAGGAGACGGCTGAGGTAGGCTGTCAGTTTGTGGAACCGGAACGATCTGAACTACTAAATAAATATCAGCAAACTGAACTACACGACACGCTGTCAGATCGGGGCGTACAAACGAATCGAAGTGCATTTTCCGATATCGCTACGAATACTGAGGACGAATTGCTTCTGGTACAAATCAATCGCATGGGAGCAACGGAAACAGGAACAAGTACAGAGGAACTTTTCGCAGAAATCGATTGGAAAATCACCCAAAAGCAAGCTATATCCACGAAAGTTGAGCCTGAAATCAATCGATCTAGGATATATCGCAAATTTACAACTACGAAAAACACTGCTGGTTTCTATATGGAGCAAGTGGAGCCGTCTGTCTGGTGGGAAAATCAGCGCGTGACCTCACCTAGAGATCATTTTCTTATAACGACATCTGAAGAAATGCTGTCAGCAATCGGTCATACAATAGTAGAACAAGAACCGATAGTCGATAGTCCAACAATGCACCAGGAATCAATAACTCCAAGAATCAGTTCCAGCACTCACTTGAAGCTACATAATCAATGTTCCTCATATTACCATCAACATTTCATTTTTACAGCATCCGAAGAAATGTTGCCAGAAATTGAACAGCCGACAATAGAGCAACAACTGATAACAGATCGGTCGTTAGAGCAGCAAGAGTCGATAATTCCTGGACTTTCTTCCGGCGCTCACGTAGAGCTATGCAGTCCAGTCACAAGCAACTGGCAACATCAAGCGCAGCCAAATATTGAACAATCGATAGCTCAACGGGAATCGATATCTACAGCACTTTTCACCGAAACTGATCAGTACACACTTTCCATTTCGGAGCAAGATGAGCATACATCCTCGGCAGCTAGCTGGCAACAACTGCGGCAGGGTGAAGTATCTAAAGAAATGATAAATGAAACGATAACACAGCAAAAACTGATGGCCGATGGATCGATAACACAGCAAGAATCGATACCTTTAGGAGCTACTTCTATCGTTCCATTAGAGCGACCTCCAACTGGGTGGCAAATCCCCTCCAACTTGCTGTCAGACCCTGTTCAGTCGATACCTTTTGAAGAAGATATTCATAAAAAAGTAACTTCCGACTTTGTTTCAGAGCAGACGAAAGACTTGCCAATTAATCATACGATAAGCCAGCAATCGATGACCGATGGATCGATAAAACAGCTAGAATCGATACCTTTAAGAGCTGCTTCTAAACGCGTGTCCCCTACAACTGTTTGGCAACAAAAATTGCTGTCTGACACGGTTCAATTGATAACCTCTAAAGAAGATATAGCTGAAAAATGTACTTCCGACTGTCTTTTAGAGCTAACTAAGCAGGTGCGCGAACTAACCACACGGCAACATCCGCAGCAGACGAAAGACTTATCAATTGATCACACGATAAGCCAGCAATCGATGCCCGATGAAACGATAACACAGCAACAATCGATAACGCACACACCAACCAGGTGGCAACACCAGCGGCACGTTATAGCCGCCTCCCGGTTCATTGTTAAGCAATTTCAATGTAACCCCGCCTATCAATGCTCACCCATGCAGCGTGATGCGCCCAATTTCTTTGCACAATGGATGCAATTCCATGAGATTGTGGCGCCCCAAGCGAAATGGAACCAACCCAAGATCGATGTCGATGCGATCCGAAGACGCTTAAAAGCTTATTTGCGATGCATGCGCAAGAAATATTCCTTTGAGCCCGAACAGTGTGTGGCCGCGATTGCCAAATGCCAGCTGCAACAGCTGCTCACCGCCGACGAGCTGCGGGAATACGAGACGATGCGCTGGCAGCAGCGGGATCGCGGCACGGCCCGAGAACTGACCCAGGAGGAGCGACTGCAGGATGCGTTGCACGGCATGCTGGGCTACGAGTGCCAGCAGTTGCGTTCGTCGGCCCTGGGTCCACGTCTGATGCTGCGCTCGCCGCATCATCAGCGCAGCGTAAGCGAATCCTATCTGCTCCTGTCGCTGGCCGAGGTGGGCTACTACTACAGATGCCTGCAGCAGCAGCAGCGGCATCTGCAACATCTGGGCGAATGTGGGCGTGCGTTGACGCCCTGCCTGCTCGCCGAGTTGCTCGACTACTCCGAGTTTTACAAGCGGCAACAAGTGCAGCCCAAGAGTCTGCTGCGTTTATTCTGGCACACGAGAAGCTATCGCCAGCGCTTCCAGTGGCTATTGCAGCTCTGCGGCGGCCTGAGCAGGCGGCAGCCATTGCTGCAGTATTTGCAATTGCAGCTGGGTCAGGGCAGCGTCGAGTACGATGTGCTGCTGCAGCAGTGGCTGCGCTGCGCCGCCGAGCCGCTGCTGGCCAGGATTAGTGGCTGGCTGCTGCGCGGCGAGCTGCCGGCGGACGAGTTTTTTATTGTGGAGCGCGGCAGCGACAATTGCCTTGTGGAGCACTTTGAGCTGGTGCAGCAACAATTGCCGTACTTTTTGCGCCAACAGCTGGCACAGCAGCTGCTCGTCGCTGGCCGAAATCAACATTATGCCCGTCAATTTCTGGGCAGGCAGCTGGAGCTGACAGTATCTGATGCAGAGCTGCGTGAGCAATTGACAGCCGCATGTGCCAGCAGCTATCGTGAGCTGGATGAGCAGCCACTCGCTGAGCTTGCAGCCAGCCTGCAGCTGCAGACATCCCGACAGCTGTGGCAGCAGCTGCAGCAAGCGAGCCCGCAACCCTTGGAGCTGCTCAGCCGGCTGCATCAATATTGGCTGCTGACAGATGTGGAATTTGTACGAGAATTGATCGAGCTGCTGGAACCGGCGCTGGAGCAGCCCTCGGAATATTTTGATCCAAGCCAACTGAACAAAATGTTGGAGCAGCTGCTCTGCGCCCACAATGAGAATCTCTATGTGGTTAAAGGTGAGCACAAGGGCAGCCAGAGCTGGTGCTGCTTTCTCTTGCGCTGGCAACAGCCGGCGCACTGGTTGCCCTTACTGGGCGCACGTCTGTCGCAATACGAAACCAGCTTTGCCTGCCTCTGGCAGCTGCACTATGCGGACTATGTGCTCAATGAGCGGATAAGGCGACAGCAAGCGCATTTTTGGGAGCGCATCAATTTGGCGCACTCGAAGGATGCTCGCCAGGTGAGAGATCGCTTCGAGCAGTTCAGTGATCGGCTGCAGGAGTTTATGCTACAGCTGCGCAGCTATATGCTTCAGGATGTGTTGGCCAGCGCTTTTGAGCGTCTCTATTATGGCTGCAGTACGGCAAAAACTCTGGATGAGCTGCTCGAGCTGCATGGTGCGTATCTGGAAAGCATTGAGTACGGCATTTGGCAGGGTGGCAATTCCGGCAAGTTGCAGCACTATCTGGGGCAGCTCTATGCGCCCATTATTCATCTGGATGCAGTGCAGCAAAAGTTTCTATCACTCGGTCAGCTATTCAATCAGCGCTTGGATAATCGGGAAGCGACGCAGCAGCTGCTTCTGGAGCTGCGTTGGTCCTGCCAGAATACATGCGATGCCATCAACGATTTGGAGCACGATTTTCAATTGGTTTTGGCCCAGTTTTTGACTGGCCTATACGCCACGGGGGAGACGCAGCTGCATGCGCTGGCCAAGAAATTGGATCGAAATGGGTATTACGAGCAGCGATTTAAGGAATTAAAGGAGGCGCAAACTTTCGAATTTCAGCGCAAACTAAAAACTAAAAAGAAATCGCAACTTGATATGCTTAAAAATTAAGCTCAACATTTTTTTTATTATTGTTTTTTGGCAATTGAGAATTTGGTTTTTTATAATTTTATATATATTACTAGTTGAGGTTTAAAAAACTATTTATTTATAATTTTATTAAAAAGGTGTATTTTTTGAAGTTATAAATATATCAATTATTTTGCTTATTTAATTTAAGTATTAAAATATTGCTATTGTACATTAAGTTAATTAATCAGTATTTTGTATGTATATAATATATATGTATATAATATATAGACAAAATATTTTATTTTGATGCATATATATAAATACTTATATATTATCATGATTTAAAATTAGTAATAGATTCATCAAATGATTTATTTCTATATTCTATTATTAAGAAAAATACTTTAAATTAGTTTTTATTTTTAAGTGTATTTATCAGTATTTTGTTAGTATTTAAAATATGTATGTTTATCCAGACCCCATTTTAAGGTATTTAAAGATATATATATTTAAATATATTAGTTTAGAAGATATACTAAATATCTTCTCATTTGAGAATTATGTAAATTTTATAAATAATGTAACTTTAAAATATTTTTATTCAACAATTTGTCGAAAGTTCTAAGTTAACTTTCAGTATTTTGCAAGTATTTAATATATATCAAATATTTCTTTTTCAACTGGCCACACTTTAGATTTACTTATAGAAAGCAAATATGATTCTCGAATTAAAATTGAATCCCGACTCGGTAATCGTATGCCAACATTTCCTTCATTCTCACCGTATTCCTCTTTAATGTCCTTCCCATGAGCAAATACAAAGCCTTCCACATTCAGTCCAAGTAATTCGTAACTGAACCAATTCATGCACATGCTGCGTGTCCGTTTTAAGGATTGACAATGGATTTAAGCAAAAAAATATTTTCATTTGAAAAACGTCGTCTCTTTGGCGTTTTTGTGTGCACAAATTGGATTTTAATTGAAAATTAAGAATCGACTTAGCAATGTTTGAATTGTGCAGCTGCCTTTTGTTATGCTAATTTCTGCTGTGAATACAACTGAATAACGAATGAATAGATGCAGGCAGTCGTCGTCATCGTCGTCGTCGTGTGAGCCTTGTGTAAAATAAAGTAAATAATGGATAATTACTTTTTGGCTTAAGCGTTGGCAAATTAATTCCAAGTCCTGCTTTCGTATTTCTCTTCAGAAGTTCGTGTCAAATTTAATTATTTCAACAAATTTCAATTAAATCAAGTTGAATACTTTTTCCTTCTCCTTTTTTTGTTCATAACTTTGTCCCAATACTTGCGTGAATGCATAATTTAATTTTGTAAAATTTTCACATGCTAAAATTACATACATATCTAATTGTAAAATCTGGCCAAAAGCAATGCACAATGCTGGAAGCGTACATAAGACGAAAACTCTTTGTTATCTTGACAGGCGCAGCTGCTGAGACGTTTTCTGACTGCGTCACATATATCAGGCTGGTAAAATTATAAAGCGGCTGCCTTTCAGAAAGAATGTCAAGAGGAAGATAATTGAGCCAGGCATTTAATATAACCTTCCTTGGCTGGGCCAAAGGGTGGGAGTTGCCTTTATTTTGTCATGTGTGCTTTGGACGGCAAAAGGCAAACAAAAGACAAGTGAGTGACTTTTCACTTGCCACTGATTAGGAAAATTAATTTCATAGAAAATTGCGTCTGTGCGTGTGTGTTTATGTCTGTGTGTGTGGAAAGTCATAATTTTGTGAGCTGATAAAAAATGCCTAATTTAATAAACAGACAAAAGATTTCAGTTTGGAGCATTGTTGGCCAGGAATTTTATTAACTGACCCAGTGAAGGTCATAAAAATGGAGCTTAACTTAAATCTTGCCCTACTTTGTGGAAAATTTAAAAAAATATATTTTGTTTTTATCGCATTTGCGAACAATTAATGAACTTTTACAAGTTATAATATTGGCTATTTGTGTTGCCTAAATTTAAAAGTATTTAATCATTAATTATTTTGCAAGTAAATAATGAGTTGAAACCATTTCTCTCATTCCCTTTCAGTTTTTTCAAGCTCATCGTAAATTTAACATGGACTTTTATTGATATTGATATTGTACGGCCTTTGCTTCCCGTTTTTACTATAAGGCATCAAAAGTGTTTTCATGTTCATGAAAATGGTCAAAGTCAACATATATCTAATCTGGGCAAAGTTGCTGAGCATGTGCCTCATAAATAGGTTATGTGCAAAACAAGAGTTTTTTCTGCTAAAAGTTAACATGGACTTATAGCAGAAAATAAAGAGTTAATGTTTTTAAATGTAACTTTATAGTTTTGACAAATATGCAAATTACGGAACACAAAAATTGACATGAAGTTTACAGTCAAGTTGCTAAATGTCAAATGTGCTATTTGCCAGCTTGAGCCTAATTAAATAAACTAATAAAAGTCACTTTACTAGCTTAATTTTTTTTTTCCACCCTGCATCTGCATAAAACTATATAATTTCTCTCTAATTAAATATTGTTTAATTGTTGTTTGTTGCTCTTCATACGCTTACTATGTAGTCTATGCCGTAGAGCACACAGCAATTGTGCGTCAATTCCAAATTAAACAATAAAATTTATTATTATGACCGTGACATATGAGTACTTGATCTGTTCGAGCCATAAATTTCAGTTGCAGTTGCGCGCTGGCCGTTTAACATTTTGCCATTGTTATTGACAATTTGTTGTCAGTATTTCCCTTCTTTTTTCTGTCTCTCTCTCTCTCTCTTGCAGAAGGATACAATTTATGTGGGGGCCGGTCTTTATGAAATACTTCTCATTATTGCCGTGAAGCAGCCTGGGCAAACATATTTGAACTATTTTCATTACAATTGCAAACGCAGGGCGCGCAGAAAATCAATTGAATTGCCATTTCACATATGAAATGGTCATTTGTCAATGAACAAACACACACACACGCACACAGAAGCACAACAATTGATAGGGGGGCGTGGCTGGCTGACTCTCTGGTTACTGCGGTCTGTCAAAATGGCCGCATAAATATGTCGTTCGACCATGGCCCCGCGTCCACTTGTCGCTAAATTGCTGGTCGTTATTAAATTTCCGCTGCGTTGAGTTCTCATTTCCGTTTCAATGGGCAGCGCAGCTGGCGACGAATATGTGCGACGGATGTTGCCACAGACATAGATACCGTTAGCACTGGCCAGCATCGGCTACACCATAAACAATGTTGGACAACACCAGAAAGAAAAAAAACAACAACAAATGTGTGTTGCAGTCACTGTGTAATGCCCGTCCACAATTCAATAAAATGCTAACAGCTAAAATTATTAAAAAATTCATAAATTCAACTATGAATTGTTATATTTAAATGTTGCAAATACATGAAAAACCGAGAATTGAAACAAAACTTGGGCTTATGAATGAGAGAATCCAGGCTAACGAACCGTTAATAATTGGTTCGAGCCGTGAACCGAACCACCAATAGTTTATTTCTCGGACTTGCAGCCCTGGCGCTCAGTTCCAGAACAAGTTAAAGCACATATAATAATAAAATTTGCCGAAGTAAACTATTGTTGGATCGATCTTAAGATTAGTTCTTTAAATTCTTCCAAATTTGATGCCCCATGGGTCTAACCTTTAGAAAGGTACAAACTCTTTCGATTTGTCAGCAGCCTTGTTGCCATATTATAGTCCTTTGAACAGACGCCCAGCAAGACAGACATTGCACGGAACCAGCATACCCCTTTATACTTTGTGAACAGAGTAAAAAAAAAAGGGTTAACAGTTGCTGCAGCTTAGTGGGCAGCTGTTTGGCGGGGTGCAACATATTTGCACGCCCCACGGGGCGTATGCGTAATATTCAATTGTTATTATATCGCATATATACATATATATTTTTGGCAGCGCCTAAACAATTGCACATTACGCACACAGTTTATGTGCCGCAATCAAAATCAATGCTGGAATCCAATTGCATTATTTGGACTTTTAGCAAATTGCAACTAATTGAAATGCCCCTCTGGAGCCAGAGGAGGAGCGGGTTGGGGTAGGGGCAGCTGACTTTTTCACTGATTTCATAACTGGTTGCGTGTGGAGCTTGTGTGTCATAAATTTCAATAAAAGGCATTTTTGGTATTTGGTTTGGCTTCTTGCTTCTGTGTGTGTTTCTGTGTGTGTTTGGCTTTTATTGGCATTGCGTATACGCCGCATGACCCTGTTCGGATGAGCATCTTCTTGTTGTTCTCACTCGCTTTCCCTCTGTCGTCCCCTTTCTCTCTCTCTCTCTCTCTCTTGAACTAACTTTATGCCTTTATTGTGCTCTGTTTTGGCATTTGCTATTATTTTATTTAATTCACATTGTTATTGTTATTGCTGCAAAAGTGCAAAAAGCTGTTGACGTGTCCAGTGCTGGCTAATGGCACAGCACTGACGAGCCAAAAAAACTTTGCTCTTGCCATAAATTTAATAAGTTTTTTTTTTGCTTAGATTTGCCAAAATAACATAAACGTATGAAGTGGCTTTCCACTGGCTGGAAAGGGATATGTTATTTATATAAGTTGTAACTTTTCTATTAAGAAGTTGGATTTTCTATCTATTTTTGCCATTATTATTATCTTAATTGGAATCCCGAACACTTACATATACTTGCTTTAAATCTAATTTATTTTTCCGATATTTTTTTCATTTTGTTGGTTTTTAATAAACATTTTTTTATGTCTTTTACTTATAGGCTCTACTTTTGGAAAATATATTTCTTCTCTAAAGCTCATATTAATTTTCATTTCTCTCTTTTCGCTGTATTCTTAAACGTTTTTAAGTTTGGTATAGTTCTTATTACATCTCTCTTTTCGAGCATTGCTTTTATATTCATATTTTTTCTATGCCTCTTTTCTTCATTCGTAAACGTTTATCTGACTGCGCTGTACTGATCTAATAGAAAGGCTTTACGTTTAACCGATTATTCCTTTTTTAAAATTAGCTTAGAAAGTCTCTCTTCCGCTTAATAGATTATTATTGAACTGCCCGTTCGAGCTGCACTCCCCTGTCAAAGGTCATAAATACCTTTGAGAAACCTT